GATGGCAGTATGTTTACGGCAATGGAAATTCATTTAAAGTTGGTTGGTTTCGCAACAGACGACTCTGGGCCAGCAGATGACAGCCGGTATCTCCGGGCCTCGCATTTGGCGCAGTGACACACGCCCCGTGATCTAGTGTCACGTGCTGCGCTCCGGCACTCTTATTGGGTCGCAGTGGCCATAGCCTCCACAGTTCGCAAAGTTATTGTGAAACGGAGTGTAGATCATTCCATTCATATTCTATCGTTATCTATGGTCGAGCAACAATCACCCACATACTGGTTCGGGTTGCAGCTGACTGGTGGTGTGGCCGCCAAGGCGCCTTCTTTCAGTTCGTTTGACCCCGAGCTTCTATCCTTGACCCGTCCTTCCCAGTCTTCAGAGTCCGCCAAACCTACTGGGCAGTAGGATGCAGCGGAGACTGCGGACTGCTTCAGCATAAAATTTTGGAGTACTATGCATGCCGCAATAATCCTGGTAATGTATTTGTCGTTTGCCCTGAACGGTCGTCGCAGGATCCTCCACTTCTGTGCTAAAATGTCAAAGGCATTTTCTACCACCCTGCGGGCTCTACTTAGCCTGTAGTTGAAGATCCTTTGTTTGTGCGCTTCAGTCTTCCGTGCGACTGCAATAGCGCCCGAGTCTGCGCCTTGAGGTGGAGCTCGATCTTTCTGCAAGGCTGTATAAAGTAACATAAGTAGTGCAATGTTACTGCTGTGCTATAATTTGTGTTTGCAAAATCATTTGTGGCTATGGTAAGTTCCCCATATTGCAAACAGCACGCCACAGTTAGCACAACTAAGCCTATGCGGATATCTGGTTTAACTTCGAAAAAAGAAAGGCTATCATCGAAGCTATGTACTATGTGTTGAAAAGGGCTAATGTGGAGTACCAACCTAGCTGGAAGCTTTCGGGTCCCCCAATTCACCGTTAACATCTGCAATAATGTAAGCGCTCGTATGCCTGTATCTAAGGCCTAATACGTACCATATTATGTGCACCACACTCTAAGAAAAAAAGGAGGAGAAAGGTAGCAACAGCGACCGTTCCTCCTTGTTGCGGACAAGTTGCCCAGAGAAGGGAGGAACGCAGTTCAGATGAAAGGAGGAGAGCGAGTTCCTCCTTGTTCAGTTGGCGTAGGGGTAAAACGTCGCGCTACTGACCGAGTGGTCAAAGGTTCAATCCCCAGAGAAGCGGTTCTTTTTTTTTTTTTTTTTTCTTCGTAAAGTTTTTTTTTAATTTTTATTTACCAAAACACACATACAACCCCAGACCGATGAAAGAAAAATTAAAGTCCTTATTATTCACCGAGACGTTTTCCTTCTTCTCCAGGCAGACCGGAGAAAGCTTTCGCCCTCCCGACTCATCTTCTTTCGGTTTCGTTTTTCGAGCACATCGCGCACGTTGTTTAATAAATTAATGTTGAGTTGGTTGAGCTTCAGCGGCAGCGAAGGCCGCTTGTAATTGCGTCTTCTAGTCCAAACGTGCAGAACATTTCGGTTGCATTGTCGTTTTTATCACTAATTTTATCAAACGAGATAACGAAGCCGCTAGAAACAGCGAAGTTCCGGAGCAGTGCCAGCAGCGCTACATACACTGGGTAAGACGGCCGTTTCCGATTTGCGGGACACACGCGGAACTACAGCAGCGAAACCACGAGGAACTGCGTCGACGTTTTCGACGTTATGGAAATCGCGGGAACTGCGTCCAAGGCAGGCAGGTTTTCCTGCCGGCTGCCTGGGTGCCTTCCGTGCTGAGTTTGGTTCTGTTGTCCCGTGCCGAGTGCCAACCGGCGTTCAACGTGATTCTGTATTTCTGCGCGTCAGCAACATCGTCAACGTGGTTCTGTATTTCTGCTTGTCAGCGACATCGTGATGGCAGTGTTGTGCATGGGTTGTGAACAGAAGACTGGAATTATCGCCGATGTGACCGTGTGTTCGCGTATCAGTGGTGTAACAACAAGATGAGATGACGTAAACTGTCGGGCATTGATGCCGCTGGTCGGGCCGTGATCGGAGGGGGCGGGGTGTCGCGGGATGACATTCCGCTTTACATTAAAGAGTTTACTACCACTTGAGGGATTAGGTGCAGTCGATCGACGTGTGGATAGTCATGTTGGAACGCTGGTCTGAACGTTAAGCTCCTATCGTACAGTGGCCAATGTGACTGTCGGTCCCCGAGAGCGATAGCGCTCTGGGGAAAAGACTGAACAGTACGAAAGTATGACGGAAAGTACGTATATTTACAATAAAAGTTTAGCATAAAAAAAAAAAACAGGTAAAATCGAAAAAAAACACGCTATCCTTTATTTTACTGTTTAAATATATTACGGTTCCTGTAGAAACTGCTCTCCAAGTGGCGCGCTAGGATGAGCGCTAGAAGTTTTCGAGCTCGCAACGGCGTAGCTCCGTACACTTAACAGTTGCCGCAAGTCGCGGCTTTGACTGCATTCAAGTTGATCGAAAAGCGATTTCTCTGCCCGTGAAGCATCACTTCCAGCTGAGTGAATATCCGCTCTACAAAGATTAATTCAAGACGGCGATTGCAGCCGTGCGCGAACAGCACAAATAGAAACACAAACACTACAATATAAATACTGGCTACGAAGGGCCGTGCGGGAAAACAAACTCATGGCTTGCAACCACATTGGAGCGGCTCGATTTATTGGCATTCAAATAATTACGGCATGATCGAGCGTTTTCTTTTTAATAAGAGATTCATCCCCTGAGCCATTAAAAATAGTCTCAGGTGTATGACATTGCTGGGAAAAAATGAACATGTTCGGAATATTTTTTATTGCTTAGGGAGTCACCGAAAAATTCCGTACGTTAAAAACGACCAGTATAAAAGACGGAAACGCAGGGCTCGGGAGTAGTGATCGGGGTAGTGTGCTGTTGTATTGATGTTTGTATGTGCGATGCCTGTGTATGCGTTCAATGTATGTTCACCTGATGCTTGTAGTGTGCGTAACGTGTCTACATGTGTTAGAGATTCCCGCACAAAAGGAACCGCAATTGTGGCGTAAGAAAATAAAAATATTTTTTTGTAAAACATAAATTGGGCGGTACCTAGCGCCACCTAGCCTAGCTACTTGCGATTACTCTGCTTGACCCTGCCATCTGGCGGCAAGCGATTTAACAACCTTTTACGCTACGCGGCTACGCCATAATTTCGTGTTACCGTGCTGAGATAATCCAAGAGGTTGCTTCGGATTTGCTTTTTTTTTTTGAGAGCGGCTTTTGGTTTTGCGGGCGAATGATTTTCACTTCTCCGTGATGTGCGGTTCACGCAACGGTTGACGAAGGAATTGTGGCTCGAGGAATAGCAAAGGTAAGGCATAAAGTGCGCGAACTGGGTGCCGGTTGTCTCCGTTGAACATCGCAGTGCTGACGATGAGAAGACTGAGTGACTGCATGCTTTCGAAACGTAAGTTTCTTTACCTGCAGGGGCAAAGAAACCTCGGAAATAAATACAGTTCGCGGAAAGCTCGTGTTACGTTTTTATTTGCTGCTCCTCTCGCTCCGTACAATAGACTTAGTCTTCTCGTTAAGCCTTATCGAGCTCGATTTGCTCGATTCGTGGCCGCCATAATGAGATGCAGTCGACGGAGCACTTTTGCTCACCTGCTTAAGGGACGAAAGTTTCTCCCTTTCTGAAGGAACATATGTGTCAAGAGCGTTCCTCCCTTTAGGGAGGACTATACTGACCCTTTTTTCTAAGAGTGCAGGACCATCGATTATCTCCCTGTATGCCACACGAATGCCGCGGCATACATGCAGACAACGGTGGAAAATGAAATGCATGGGGAGGTGGCGGACCTTTTTTAGAGCGCAGCTCTTAGGCGCCTGTTTCCGGCTTGAGCGGCGTCGCCGTCGGCGTCGTGGTCAGCGTAACCGTGAGGTCACGTGACTCCCCCTGAGGTCACGTGACCTCACGGGGGCCACGTGGCCCCCATGAGGCCACGCGGCCCCCGTGGTGGAGTAGGAGGCAGGATGACGAGGTGAGGAAGAGGGAGGAGGGGTATACCCTCCCTTCAGTACCCTTCCATCCTCCTCCTCAAGAGCTGCGCTCTAATTCCGCGTTACAGGGAGTTGTAAACGGCTTTCATTTTTTTCTAGATTTTGTTACATGGCCTCTGTGAATGCGAGGGTCTGCATGGTCCCACTTGTGTTTTGACTGAAACGAGATTGTCTACACAAAATGAAAATGCACTTTGGATCGGTCAACACTCCTAATATAAAATGTGCATTATCAATTTGGTTGTTTTCAGCAGCAAAAAAAAGGGATAGGCCCCTCTATCCCAACGTTTTGTTGTGGTGGCACGCCCATCTGGCCTTGTAGCAGCCGCTCCTGAAGCTTGCAGCGTGAAAATATGCCTCCGTCGCTCTCGCTCACCATGAGGGCCAAGTTCTACATACAATAAGCAACTCGCTCATCGCGCGCGCCAATGTGAACATCTGATTTTTTGTGATGCGATCTAGTCGTGCATCGCGTGTCTAGATCGCATCGCCGGTGTGAATACGTCTCCTTTTGTTGCTGCATCTCAGGGCTGAATAAGCCAGCAACAGAAGGACTCCCCCCGCCGTCTAGGTGAGCGAGAAACGAGAAGGGAGGCGAGAAGGATTTTCCTACGTTGCAGAAAACCTTTTCGTAAGTCAGGCGGTAAAGTACCACGCATATTTTTTTATTGCGACTCTTCACTTAAACTGGCTCCTCCTTACGGCTCTTTCAGTATGTCTGTCTGGCCACGCCTGCGTCAGAAAACTAAAGATGCTCCTAAAGCGGGGTGTGTTCTCCGACGAGCGAGCATGCTGTCCATTTCGTACCGTTGAGCACATCCATCCATCATATATCGATCTTCTTGACCAGCCTGTAGCTATAGTTAATAGAAACCAATTCAATGGGAAGTGCCAATTGTGGCATAAACCTGATCATGCCACCTTATGGGCACCGGTCTGTTACAAACTTTCTATATTTCGCTGTCGATGGAATTCACGCAGGGGGTGCAGAGCGGACATGACACGCTGGTGACGTCTTCTGGCGGCAATGCGGGCCTCGCTGTGGCTCACAGCGCACGCCGACTGGGAGTCAAGGCACGCGTCTACGTGCCCGATAAGACAAGCCGAGCCGTGGTCGGAGCCCTCGAGCAAGAAGGCGCCAACGTCATCGCCACAGGCAGTGTTTGGGACGACGCTGACCTCGCGGCAAGGGACTACGTCAGAATTCAAGGTTGTTACTTCCTCGCGCACCTTTGCTTCTAGAACTGACGAGTTTATTTCACCATTTAAACGTGGGTCAGGACTCATAAAACAGGTCTTAGAAGGCAACTTTAATGGTATATTGTCCTGAATAAAAACATAAACTTGATTCATAAACTTAAAATGAATGTTTAATGCGGTAAACTTCTGCCGAGAAACATAAAGTAACAAAGATATACTTTGACGGCGACGAAAGGAGGGCTGACGTCCCAAGCAGCCATGCGAAGCTACTTTTATAAGCGCGTGGGTATCTAGAAGTTTCCAAGCTAGAACAAACAACAAGATTCTCAAGTCATCTAATCTAGAACATTCCAATCATGCAACCAAAATAGAAATAAAAAGAACAAGCGGTGGCGGGGATCAAACCCCATTCTGATGTTAGCCTGAGACTGAGGCAGGAAAAGAGGAAGTTTTAAAGTAGAAGAAAAAGGAACAGTCGAGGATACGTCTCTAACACAGCTAAAGACAAGCTGTGTTAGATACGTATCCTCGACTGTTCCTTTTTCTTCTACTTTGAAACTTCCTCTTTTCCTGCCTCAGTCTCAGGCTAACATCAGAATGGTTAATTTCCACCAGCTCGCCTGCGCACTCACTACAATATCATCAAACCCCAGCCAGCGGCATGTGAGTCCAGCACGTTGCTGACTCAGCTTTGCGCGGTTAGTGTCACCAGGCCGCTGCAGTCCGCTGGTCACGGATGTTCACCGCGTTTGGGATACGTCCGGATCAGGGTTTTCTCGCCGCAAAAGTAAACTACGATCCCCATCAGCCTTCCCTGTTTGGGATCAGGTGCCCAAAGTTCTGATAACTCAGAATTATCCAATTCAAATATTTTAAACCGTTTCTGTTTTTATTAATTTTATTAATGTTCAGTGAAAAATCGAGGCCATTTATTTTTGACAGACGCTACCCATCACCCTATTTGCCGCTATTTGCTGAATAGAAACTTTTTAAACTCGCTTCTGACGTTTAGTTATATACCGGTAAGGCCTGAAATTGTTCTTGCGAAAACTGTCCACCAAAAGGCCTATTTCAGCTTTTGAGTAGGTACCTTTTAGTTAGTAAATCTAAATTCATGATTTCAATTAGAAACTGACTGAAATCACTTTAGAAATATTTAACATAAGTAGGCAACAGATTTGCCAGCGTTTATCTATGATAAAAATCGGCGGATGTTTTTTAGGTGTTTATAATACTTTTCAAAACTCGGTGTATTTCGACAATTCGGTACATACGTACGCTAAAAATGGTGATTATCGGTGACAAAAAACAAATTCAGGAAAAGCTAAGAGTTAAGATTGTTATTTAGATATGGATACTTCCTGATTACGCTTCACGCTTATGATAATGCCGTGCACGTCTACTTGCAAGACATGCAAGGACAACGAGTCTGAACGCGGGCCGAAAGTTCGAGTACTCTCTGGTGTAATTATCCGCAGCTTTTCGTTTTCTTTGTAGCTTGCTACCCTTCTGCTACGTGTCATGATAATGCATGAATCGCTCTCAAGCAAGATGCTTCTGCCACGCGGAAGGCAAGTTGCTCTTGCTTCCTTCGCAAACTGCTAACGACAGCCAGTGTAATTTCGAACGCTGTCGTCATGCTCTGACTGGAATAGAACAAAGACAATCTGTGGCGACCGACCAACTGATCTAGCAACTTTCTCGCGCCCTCTCTCATGCCTGCTCCCCAAGGTTAATGATTCTACTGATTCGGGACAGGCGAGGTGCTTAATGTTAGGTAAAAGCATGCGCCCGACAAACGTCTAAGGGAGGATTTCGACAAGAACATGTCTTTGCGTAGAGCAAACATTTCCGGAAATCGGTGCTTTATAGGGTTTTAACCGATTTGTTATTTTTGACATCGACGGATGTTTATTGGTGCTTATCGTTTAAAACGGAAAAGTCTACCCGGGAAGTCTTATTTGAGTGTCATTTCGGAAAGCCTTAATATGCTGCTCAAGACTCGTATTTTTGTAAGTTAAAGCTCAAGCCTTGCAGCTTCTAAGTAGCTTAAACCTGGGAAGGGTCTTAGCTAGAGCCAAGAAAGAGAAAAACCTTATGTTAGAGGTATTTTTTACCGCAAAGATGCATAAACCAAAAATACCATTCCGCACAGTAGTGTCGGAGCGAGATTCCTGGCTCAGGGCAGTTTCAGGATATCTGCGAGTCCACCTCAACTCACTGCAGATTGATAACCCTTTTAACATTCCAAACTCAATATCTGTTATAAAATTCTTAAAAGACAACAACCCAGAAGGATGTAGCGAATTTAGCATAGATGTGGAAAAGTTATATTACTCTATGCCCCATCATGAGCTCATGAAGAGCGTAAAAGAATGTATATCTGAACGCAACGATGAAACGAGGTTTAGAAACAAAAGTGGAGTCTCAGTAGAAGGGTTCCTTGAGCTTTTGTGTATGTATCTAAAATCCACGTTTATCGATTGGCAGGACAACGTTTATGTACAAAAGTTAGGTGTATGTAGATGTTCAAGAGTGGCCCCTATGCTGAGCAGTATTTTTCTAGGTAAAGTTGATAGGGCCCTTGAGCACAGGCTGGCGAAGAACACCAAAAAGGTTGTCAGATATGTAGATGATTACTTGGTTTTCGTAGAGAAAAACGATTTTAGTAGAAGAATGAGCGAAGTGTTAAGGACGTTCGCGGAGGAAGGGTTTGGACTCCGCTTCACTTCCGAGACTCCTAAGGAGTACAAAATTCAGTTTTTAGATGTCCTAGTTGATATGAAAGAAGATCATGTATGCAGGATGCACCACCCCAGATCCACGAAGAAATTACTAGACTATCGTTCAGCACACCCAAAGCTCGTAAAAAACGGTATTGCCTATTCCTGCTTACAGTCAGCGTTGACAAAAACCTGTTTTCATAAGATGAAAGAAAGCTTCTCAGTACAGGCCGCTAGACTCAGAGACTCTAATTTTCCCGACTCAATTATTACTTCAGCCTGCGATAAGGTGACTCGGTATATCAAGATTGATTCCAGAAAACCTGACAAAGAAAAAGCCAAGATAGACAAAAAAAAACAAAAAACGTCGCAGTTATTTCTTACATTCATCGTCTTTCACACGGGTTAAAGGGAGTCGGTTCGAGGTATGGGGTCAACGTAATTTTTTCAGCGCGTAACAAACTGAGCAGGATTATAAACGTGGTTAATAAGCATGCTGACAGAAAAAGTAAGCCAGAACCTTTTGGATGTCGCGTCAAGCATGGCATGAAGTTCGTGTCCTGTGCACAGGGGACCGTTTAGGAAATACCTTTCTCATGCGGTCACTCATATATAGGTCAGACGAGACGTTGCCTCAACATTCGTCTACGCGAACCCCACAGTTCATTAAAAGGTAACGCGTACTCCCATTTAGCTGTCCACTGCCGTGATTGTGGATGTGAGCCAAAATTTAATTACACAAAAGTGCTGTTTAAACGCAAGGATCAGCTATCGAGGGAGGTAGTAGAAGCTTATCATATAGCAAAACGAAAACCCGGGTGCGTGAGCCAACCATCCATTAGCCTAGTGGACAGTGAGGTAATCTTTTTGGACATGGGTTGACCTGAGAATTGAAGATCGAGATTGAAGATCCAAGAAAGAAGAAAAGAGGAGGAAGACGCGATGACTTATACCTGTGCTGGTGTGCTTTAATGTACTCGTGTGTTTTAATTCGATACGATTCACAATGTTGCGTGCTTAATGGCGAATGACTGGAAGAGGAAAAATAAGAAGCCGTCCTCGCGTGAACGTCTATGTATGTGTTCTGAATAGACAGTTGATAGTCAGCGCCTCGTCCTGTGTGTTCCTTCTTCTTGTCCGTGTGGTATTCGCGCTGTTTTTCAAAATGAATTCATACCAACTCGCCCAAATTTCAATTCTAGTAAAATTGGGCTAATTTAGCGGTTTTCGATTATGTACACAAAGTTTGTAATTGAAATCATGACTCAATTAAATGTTAGATATTCTAAAATAACCAAGAGCCTAATCATACTGAACGCTGTTCATTTCGCTAAATAAACCTTTTGGCAGATACCACTATGTCGTAAACTTTTCGATGCGATGTACACTGTCCGCAGCAGCAAGTTGGCCGGCATTCCGTGAAACACCCTGTAACATCGGTAGCTATAAAAAATACCATATGAGAATCAGGACAGACGAGGCTACTTTCGTATTCTGGTCAGTGAACTTGCACTTCTATCTACCATAATTCTCCCTCCATCCCCCCCCCCCCCCCCCCCAAAAAAAACAACAACAACAACAACAAAAAAAAAACTTTATTATTTTGAGTTTTTTTACGTGGAATTGAATTTCTGCTCACCGAAAAAATACTGTTTTTTTCCATTTATTCTTTGCATTAAACTTGAATAGGTCATCTGTGGAACCTTTGAAATTGTATTTAAAATCGCTCCGTGTTTCGGTTTCAATTACCTTTCTCGTGCATACGATATCTTATTTCTCACGCAGGAGGCTACTACTGCCATCCGTTCGACAACCCCATTGTCTGGTAAGTCACGTTCCATTTTTTCAACAGGGGAATGCGCGCTCGCTTTTATATATGTTTACATGACGCGACACTGTTAGTAAAAAGAAGCGATCGGCGGTTTTTCCCTATTTTTGTTCTTAGAATTGTAGGACATCTATAAAAACGGCATGAGGGGTGAATGGTCCTCGCTCGCCCGTCAGTACCCTGTCTGAAAAAAAAAGCCTCCGTGCTGTGTTTGCACTAACAGTTTCGCGCATTGTACACCTTCTGTGAGCGCATGAAGGCTGGCTCTGGCTTATAGTTACCATTTTCTTTGCTGAGACTGCGAACTGAACTATAAGCTTTTCCTCCCACTGTCGAGCATATGCCTAAATCCGCTCGATCCGCTCGAATGCGGGCAATGGCTCGTCCATATTTAATATGCCTGTCACAGATCGGCACTTTTCGGCCTGTCGCACCCCCTTTCCCTCCTCCTTGCCAAAGTGCTGGCAAGCTCTCTGGCGCGCCACAGAGAGGGCCGGCGAAGAAAGACAAACCCTGAATTCGGGGACACCGTAACGCTGTATGGCTAAAATAAAGATACCGAGGCTTATTTGCCTTTTTTTAAATCAAAATATATTTAAAAAAAAAAAAATCTTCCCCGGGATTTACAAGAAAAGATATTATCCAACAAAAACACATGAAGACAGCTACTGAAGTGAGTTTTTAAAGAGTATAAACACAATTGCTTTACGCCTAATTAACTTCCAGAGTATGCTGCAGCATAAGCAGTAGAAGGGAAGCCTCACCCACAAACTTCCTGCTCGCAGTGCATTGTGGCTTTCTCCTCTCCACCCGCATCCTCTCCAGCATTCGTTGGGCTGAAGTGGAAAGAGTGGGTGGCTTTGCGGGTGCTAAAGCTTCAAGGTGTCATGAAACGGTGTCCGGCTGGCGTGCAAACTCTGTTTAAAATCGTGTCATTTTGGAACTTTCAAGCGCAGATGCGCAGATTTTGGTATGCCAGTTGTCATGTAATATTATGCTAGATAAAAAGACTCACAGGGTCCAATTGCGCTGTTACCTGCGTGCAAATAAAAACAAAAATAGGGAAAACTGTGTCAGATTGGCCGGTCTCTTTGGCGAAAAGTAAATCCGGTTGCTGTGCCTTTTTTACTATACAAAAGTTCGTACTGGTGTAGGCCTTTAGCGACCATGAGTGGAAGTCTGAAATAATAAATAAAACGTGCTCTCCTGCCGCAATACAAGCAGTAGTTGAGGGTAGTACTGCCGGCTGACTCAACTGCTATTTAAGTTACGGAAAAAAGATATGCTAGTTGATCATTTAGCAAAATAGAACAACAGAGAGCTATAGGCTGATTTTGGAGTAGCCACAACTATTCTAAGAACGCGAACCACTTCACAACGGCAGCCACGAGCGAGAGTTCGATGTTCGGTAGAGCCCGCCGATACAGCCCAAAGATGGAGAACGGCAACCTCCCGGTTTGTCGTCTGCTAGCGGAGTCGGGCGCGTGCCCTCTCTCTCGTTTTACCCCGCCGAACCCGGTGAACTTCCCGGATGTGTGGAGAGGGCGCTGCGGTCGAACAAAATGGTGCCGCCCAGAGAGCAAAAAGAGCTCTCTGGCCGCCGTCATTTTGCGACTCGTGCGGCCCCTATCAGCCAGAAATTTTTGTCTCCCGCCTGAGCTGTGGAAACCCTGTCAGCAGGACTCCCGTGCATTCAGAGTTCGCCGGCTTTTCTTGAAAGTTTTTACTTTATTTGTCTGTTCAGGATGCTTACTCGTTTTGTGTTATCTTCCACTATGAAAACCAGGGACTACCAGGGGTCGTAGCCTGCTCGGCCTTCGCGGGAAACGAACTAAGAGAGCGAAGGTCAAGCAGCCCGGGACGTGGGCCGTTCGACGTTGTTCGAGGATTATTTCTGTTGAGATAATCTACGAAAAGCCTTCCCGGCTGTGTTCCCGGGTTTCGCGAAAAATAGCTGATTGGGTCGGGTTTGGAGTATGGGGACGGAATAGCCACGTTCGTTCATTTGCTTTGGTGCTGTGCAAAAAAAGCCGCTCTCTTCAAAACGTGCCTCAAAACAAAGCCGTATTCCGTCCGATCATCGTGAAGTGACTATCGCGGACACTGTATATTAGATATGATGTGTTATTTGAGACCTTTCTCAAATTACGTTCGGATAACGCGGCACCGTGGGATACGTAAAATATATTGTTCGATTGACGAGACTCGTTAGATTTCATGTTGTGAGCGAGGAATACCCATGCAGTTCGGCCATCCCGCGTGGACAAATATTTTACAGCTCGTGGAAAAAACGTGCGCCACTTATTATGGACACTAAATCCTTTGGTTCAGTTGGGAACGCGACAGAACAGCACACGACAAAACAGCACCCGACAAAACAGCACGGTCAAAACAGCGCGCGTCAAAACGGCACAGCGTCACAACAGCACAGCGTCAAAACAGCACGGCGACAAAACAGCACGCGTCAAAATAGCACGCGACAAAACAGCACGGCGTCAAAACGGCACAGCGACAGAAGAGCACGTGTCAAAACAGCACGTCGTCAAAACAGCACAACGAAAAACAGCACGCATGTAAAAAGGCTGTAATAGGTGCCGTTTTATGAAAACAAAACAGAACGTAAAGAAAAAGGGTTGGACACTGCATGGCATTATTTAACAGCTAGTGGAGAAAAAAAAAAAAAAAACGTACGCTGGCGGCGACGGGATTGCACGTGCATTTTTTTTTTTTTTTTTTTACTTCAAACGCTATATTTAGGGTTCATCGTTTTCGGGTTAAAGCGAATATAACCGGTAAAAGTACGCCGAATTCATTTTTCTACATTCAGGCTTAACTGAAAAAGTTCAGAATTTTCCAGGGCGTTTGGAGTGGTATGTGTGTTTGTGTGTGTGTGTGGGGGGGGGGGGATGTGACTCATAATTACGTTTTCGTGTTTTCGGATAAATTCGAAAAACACCCGCCGGTAAAAGTTTCATCTATTCGTATTTATCTGATAAACTCTGAATTTCGATATGCCAATCCCCCCCCCCCCCCGCCCCCCCCCCCCCCACCCACCCACCCACCCACCCACCCACCCACCCACCCACCCACACACACACACACACACACACACACACACACACACACACACACACACACACACACACACACACACACACACACACACACACACACACACACACACACACACACACACACACACACACACACACACACACACACACACACACACACACACACACACACACACACACACACACACACACACACACACACACACACACACACACACACACACACACACACACACACACACACACACACACACACACACACACACACACACACACACACACACACACACACACACACACACACACACACACACACACACACACACACACACACACACACACACACACACACACACACACACACACACACACACACACACACACACACACACACACACACACACACACACACACACACACACACACACACACACACACACACACACACACACACACACACACACACACACACACACACACACACACACACACACACACACACACACACACACACACACACACACACACACACACACACACACACACACACACACACACACACACACACACACACACACAAATATATTTTACAATTAATGGTTTAATCAGCGCGTAGAGTAAATGTCCTGGGAAAATGCCACCACACATATCTTTCGAATTTCGGTCAGGACAACAGGTCAATGCACTATCGGGTCAAGACAAAAGTTACTGTTTATGTTTCTGGTTTGGGTCATACTATTTGTGCCTGAGGGGAAGGAGAGGTTGTGGTTTTGTAACCGCGAAAGCTATGGACCATAGAAATTACATAAAGTGAAAAAGAGGACAATTGAAACTTCTCTATTACATTCTTTTCCACTCTATCTCTTGCGGCCGCGCCGTAGGTTGATGGAATAGCATGGAATAAATACAGGCTTCCCAGCGACTACCTCATGTAGGTTATTGATTTTAAAGTATCGACGTTTATCGAAATAACACTTGTGTGCCACTTTTGTTCTAGGACAAATTAGTTTTGCCAGTAGTAATGGCACCAACGCCAAATCCGACTGAAGAAAATATTATTTGATACAATCGCGTTTTTTTTTTTTCGTCCAGCATACGTTTACATTTGGATATTGTTTGTTTATTTTTAATAAGAAACACTGCGAATTTGAGCTCCAAATTTCGGAGAATTCGGAATAAAAAAAAAGAAACTCCGATAAACTCCGAATTTTCGGCGAAAAATAAACTCTGAAAAACACCCTCCGAACTTGACGAAAACTAAACTCCGAAAACACGGAGCCCTACTCATTACTGACCACATGACAACTTCCTTTCGCAGTTTTCAGTGCGTCTGCGAGTTCGGTTCAACTTTCAACATAAGCTTCGGGGGCGCAGGGGTCCTCAGGACGAAATCTGGGTTTTTCACCTGACAGAGGTTTGTGCCGAATTCTAAGTTAAAAGAAGAGAGTTTAATCGTGAAATCAAACAGCGAAAATCAAGAGCGTCCGTAGATGCCGCGCATTGTTTAACACCCCTAGCTTCCGTCTATTAGAGGAGGGCATAAATACGAGTGTTTTATTGTCATTTCTGAAGTCGGCGCGAATTTATCACCTCTCGCAGTTGTGAAAATGGGGGAAAACGCACAGAGTACAATGCTTGCTAATTTCTCCATTTTGATGTTTGCCTCTCCGACCGAAGTGGTACTGGAGCTCATGCTAGTCCTGTGTACAAGTACGAGCACACGACGATAATGTCAGATACGATAAGGCCCCAGTGCATTTTACAGAACAGGTCACGTCGGCTGCCAAAGACGGCAACAAATAAGAAGACCAGTACGTGGTACTCAATATACATTTTACACAAACGCTTTTAATTATTGCATTTTCGTTAGTATACTGGTTTTCGTCAATAAGCCTAATATAACTGAGAAGTTTATGAGTCTAC